TACTGAAAATGTTTAAAAACATATAATAAAAATTCTGTATGAAAAAGACATAAAAATTCGAAGCAGAAGTTACTTTTTCAAGCAAAAAAAGAAGTTTTCGATTTTTTTCACATTGACGCACCAATCCTAAAAATCTGAAAAAATTCATGGACAATCTCTGCTATAATAAGAATCTACCATAAAAATATAAATCTAGTCGTCTCAGGATTTCTATGTGAAAAAATTATTTTTAACACTTTTTTATTTTTCACGGCTACATTTTGCAAGGGAAAAATCTGAAAAAATTCTCGGACATGTCCACTTACACTACGAACATGTCAGAATTTTCTCAGATTTTTCGCGAGGCGTTAAATAAGGAAAAACCTAAAAAAACTGTTTTTTCGAATTTTCCCTTTTACTACCCCCCTGGTCGAGATATAGGGCTAAAAATTGGAGCGAATGTTTCTTTTTTGATAAGCTATCGAATGGCGCAAACGGCGCTTCATTCGGCTCAAGGGCACATTTGACCCCCTTATCCAGCTAGGCCCTTTCATGCGATTCCCATCGGTAGCACGAAAATGATTGAAATTTTAATTTAATTTTCATTATAAATAATAAGTAATTATAAAATAATTCACACGCTAATTGGTTTTTCAACTACAATTTCTATATTACGATGAAGGTATTTTAATGAAACTCGGAAGATATTTAGATAGTATCTTCGTCAAGTTCATTTAGGTAAATTTAGAACGAAAGTTATAAGAATTCGAGGCAACTCACCGTTTCGTATAACGGATGTTTCTGACTCAGTACTAATTTTGGATGATTGCAAACGTTCCTGAGGTACCTAAGTGCCTCGAACACATGTCCACCGTGCGGATCGTTGCCCGAGGCGTCTCCGGACAACAGACTGGCCGAATGCCTGCTGCGGAAGTCCTCGTAAAGCATCTTTTGCAATTGAGAGAGATCACAGTAATAGTCCTGCGTTATCTTCGGTGGCAAGTCCTGCAGCACGTCCTCCTTGTTTCGTCTGAGTAAAAACGGCAAAACCTCCACGGGAAGTAATAAAATTCCAAGTCATTTTCAAATCCTCTCGTTCAAAAATTAATTACACACATTTTTAATAAAAAAAATTGATCGTCCGGAACTGTTACCTGTCTGTGGAGGGCTTCCATAGCCAGAGCTCCCGCCTCCTGTTCCTTAGGCCCTGCTTTCGGTTCCCTGCAAGCCAGGATAGGCCTCGAGTATTTCGCTGCGAATTGTTTCTCGGTGCCCAGGAAGCCTGGCATCAGAAAATCGAAGAGGGACCACAGTTCCAGCACGTCGTTCTGCACCGGAGTTCCAGATAGTATCAGCCTTTGGATGAACAGAACGATGATTAATCAATTGAAACGAGATCACGAAATTTTAACGGAAACGATATTACAATAAAATAAATGATATTATAATACAAACGACAATTAACACTGTTTCTACTGAAAATGTCGAAAGACACCTTTTCAAAATTTCGCCCAAAATTATTATCATTAGTATGATCATTTTGCCTCAATTAAATCTTTTTCCATAATGGATGTTAAAATTAATTCATTCATTGTAACTGATGTACAAGATCGATTTTAACTTCAAAAGCTGTCTCTTGCGAAGTTTTCGGTAGAAACAGAATTAAATTCAAAGATTCCGAAATTCTAATAGAAACGATATCATATAAACCATATCGTAATGAGAACTGAATTACCTGTGATTCGCGTGGAGCCTCTTAGTTGCCTTGGCACTCTTCGTCTTCCCATTTTTTATCACATGCCCCTCGTCTAGCACGCAATAGTTCCACTGTCTCCTCTCAAAGTAGTCGATATCCTTCCTTACTATATCGTAACTAGCCACGATCAGTCTGTGATACGTGACCCTCGGCCTCAGTTTCTCTCGTTCGGGTGGCGTCCCCGCGTACTGCAGCACCGAGAGGTTTTTCGCCTCGAAGAACTTCTCCGCCTCGTACACCCAGTGGCCGGTCAACGTCGGCGGACACACCTGCGTTCATTCGAACAGTTCGATTATGAAATATATAAATATGGAATAATTGGAAATTTCAATTCTTACAAATATAATGGAAATACACAAATACGGATTAATTGGAAAGTTTAATCGTCAAACGAATCGAACATTTTACGTACTACTAGGCTGGGCGGTACGTGAGGGTTACGGTGATGGTCTAAAGCTAGGATACAGAGGGTCTGCAAGGTTTTCCCTAGGCCCATGTCGTCGCAGAGAACTCCATGCAGCCGGTAAACGTTCAAGAAGTTCAACCAGTTCAATCCTTGGCGTTGATACGAGCGCAACTCCGCGGCCACTGGGATCGGTAGCTCAGTGTCCGGGATGCTCCTGGGATTTAGCAACTGCTCCATGAACCGACGTTCTTGGGCCTTCTTTTCTCTGAAAATATCAGAACAGAAGATAGAAGTAGGTAGAGGCAATGACTTCTAATAAATTCTCCGATGCGAAGAGACAATGTTCAACTTCGATCGTTCGTAACTCGTAATGAATTTTCTGGTCCACGTGCTTACATCAAATTCGGCGGGTCAGTGATGGCCCCGGGGTCCAACGGCAATAACTGGACGAGAGTCGCAAAAGTCGCACTGCAGGCCAGTCTGACCGCTTGATTCTGATCGCTCATGCGTCCCAGCAAGGGGACCATGAAGAGGACCGCGTAAGGTACGATGTTAACGCCGAGGCCTTCGACCAGACAAGCCAATGCCTCGGCCGCGCCTTGCCTTACCGAATCCAGTTCGCTCGGAGCCGCAATGTTCGCGAAGGTGGAGGAGGAGGAGAAGGACAGTTTGTCGGCTCCAGTCGCTTCCAACAGAGGGATCACGCTTTGAATCACTTGAACTATCACCTGAGAACGATTATTATTTTATTATAAATTTCGAATTGAACTTTTTCTCGTTTATGTCCACTGGAATTGGAAGAAAAGAATGTGACGTTACCTTTTCGGTGTTGAGAGACGCGAGAACGGCAATGCAGCGTGAGGCCATGTGTCTTACCGCTTTGTACGGGTGAGCCAACAGTTTGCACAGTGGTACAAGGGATTCTAGGACGGGAGGTAGCAGAGCTTTATCGAGGCTCGGTGCCATCGTCTCTAATACTTGTAAACCGAATATTAATTGATTTACTTCCTCCTCTTCGCTGCTGGTGCTATTTCCTGGGTTATTCTTATTCTCGCGGGACAATTGTACCGCGATTTTCGACTCATCCAACAACAAACTGGGCAGCATCATGTCCCATAAGTGAGGCAGTCGAGCGGTGAGGCTCGCGCCGAACAGACCAGCTGGAAATGAATAATGGTTACGTAAATAACTTTGTTGATAATGGACCGATTTTTAGCTGACTCCACTCGGAGGTATGGAAATTAATTTTAAACGAGAAACTGGTCGAATGTGTGATGTCGCGGGTGTCTTTGATGATAACTGTGAAACTATTGATGATAGCTTTATGAAACTTAAATACGACTCTTCTGAAGGACCCTTATAAATTTCATCGAATTCAGTTCAATAAAACTAAAGAAATAAACGAATTACACGTACCTATAGCAGTGAGCGCGAAGGTCGCACCTCTCCTTCTGGTCCTAGCAGCCTTGGCTTCAGGTTCCTCGCACGCCAGCAATTCTTCTAAAGGAATTTCAGTCGTCGGTGGTCGCCCCGGTCCTCGACCTCCGCCGAGTCCACTATTAGTGCCTCTGTTATAAGCAACTCTCTCCGCGTGCTTCTGCCGATTGCCGAGGGTCAGGATACCGTCGAAGAGGTCCGGCTCGGCGGAGAAATTCACGCGCGGAGTGAACTCAATGTCGGAGCAAAGGAATGTACACAAATTCGTAGATATCTGTAATTGAAACATGCAACAGACACACCATTAAGGCGTCTCGTGTAAAATTTAAAGACCACTGACCTTAGCGTTGGGTGAAGGTTTCCTATCGACGCAAAGGTCGACCAAATAAGACAAATGCTTAGCGGCAAGTTTTTGCAGCTCCTCGTTCTCCTCTCTCTTAACAGCTTCCATCAGCGGCTTCACCAAAGGATTCAAAGGCTCGGGCGAAGCCGGGAGGCACTTGAGCATCGTCGCAGCACCGGCCAAAGCGGCAGTCGAAGTCACGTTATAAAACGATTGTTGATTAGCCGTTTCAGCCGCCGCGGCTTCGAGAGCTTTCCTCCTCTCTTCTAAATCTTCTATTAATTTCGCCTTGGCCTTCAGCTTGATCCCGGGGCTGCCCAGAGTTCCGGTTCCTCCCATCGTCGAAAGCTCAGTTATCTTCTTACTAGCCAGCATCGTTATTTGATCGAGAGTCATCACGCCCGACGTATCGGTTTTCACAGGGATTGGAAGCTTGTAGTGTTTCAATGTTGCTACATAATCGCGACTGTCGTGGAGCAAACGCGTGAAGAAGCCGGCGATCTCGTCGTAGTACACACATTCTGTCAGACACTCCAATAATCTTTTTCTAGGGAGTGTCAGAGGAGGATTGTTAGAGTTTAGCTTCTCGATTGTATTCGTGAAAGTAATAATTTCAAGGGAAGAGTTTCAATCGAAAACTAAATAACTGTTATGGTATATACTACTTGGTATTTAAATTATCAACGAACCGGTTAAGATATCTTAATGAAACTTAGGAAAGACTTCAATAAGACTTTTCTGAAGATTTCTTATAAATTTCACAGAATTCCATTCATTGCACTAAAAGTTATTACAATTTGAGCTTATAAATAGTTATTAACAATGAACTAACTTAAATACTCCGAAGTTTCTCAACACAGCCGTCTTTAGTAGAAGGCCGGGACATACGTGGTGGGGAAGCGAGCGTTTCGGACTGACAGTCTCAAGTGGCGATGGAAAAACCACGGCCAGAGACATGGCCCACTTTATATGTAATACTCTATGCTTTGCGATCTCCTGTCTTATGCATGTATCATAGACAAGTGTAGACAATACAATATCTTCCACATATGATATGATGATGAGATGATAAGAAAAAAATAACATAAAAAAAATTTGTCAGGCCGAGTTGGCCTAGGTGATGGGATAGGTTTCAGCCTTCTACTAAAAACGGCCGTGTTCTCAACCATAATTTCCACACCGATGAAACTATCGTTACAGAACTTTCAAGACATTTACATAAGATTTTCCCAACGATCTCCCCAACGTTCCACCGCTCTCTACTCAATTTATCCGAAATACAATAATAAAAAGCTCAGCACCTCTAAAGGACTGTTGAATCAAACTTCGCGTTACCTTAATATATCTGGTACCGCTGTGGCCTCGTCCCCTTTCACAGTTGCCCAATGCGCCATAGTAAGCCCAGCCACCGTCCTCTGCATCGCGGACCTCGAATTTAAATGCGCCAGCATCACCTTCGCGTAGCAAATCGACGGGCTGGGGATATCCTCGGTGTAAACCACGCCGGGCGCCGGCTGCACCACGTAATAACTCAACAATCCCAGCATCCTCGCAGCTCTACATCTCGCCTGAACAACGTTGCTTTTCCTCACGCCCAAAGCGACTGTCTCGATTCCCCCGATATAAACCTTCAACTCCGAGACTGCTGCCACTCCCGCCGCTGCCACCGCCGCCTTACATCCGTAATTATTATTCCCACTTTCCAAGTTCTCCGAACTCGCGACGACCTGCGGTTGTTTATTAACTTTCGAATTCGTGATGGCCATCAGAAGATTCGGATTGAACGGTAAGTTCTCCGGTTGCATGGCTAGACAGAGCCACGTGCTGACCAGAGGGCAAGCCGCGTGCAACAACAGACCCAGGTCACTCTTAACCACCAGATTCTCCCAAACTCTCTCAGCAACATCCTGAATAAGCGTCACGTGTTCTATAAGAATTCTTTGAAAAACATGTCGCAAAGCTTCTTGAAGGACGATGCCCCCGGCTTCGCCCCATCTCTCCTCGTCACCCTTGTCCCCAGTCAAAGTCTCTAAAGTCTGTAACGTTGCTTTTCGCACGCTCGAGCTAGAGTGACTTAAGAAAGGCCAGAGCCTGGGTAAAACCTGCGACAAAGGCTGAGGGATCAAACAATCTCTAGCAGTCGACAGGGACAATATCGCAGCCAGCAGACCCATGAAACTATTACAAGCAGCTGCAAGATCGTCCTGTTCGTGCAGCAATTCCCAAAGTCTCGCGATGATCGCTTCTAATTCTTCGGGCTTCAATAAACGAGGTAGACTCGAGGCTACAGGGATGAGAGCACTAGCCGCAGCTGCGCCTACGTCATCCACAGGGTCCGACAGGCCTCTCATGATCGCTGGATATACTTTGACTAAGATTTCATCGAGCAGATCCTCGCGGACTGCTAACAAGTATTTAAAAGCGAGGAGTGCCCCGTGCCTCGCCTCCCATTCGTCGTGCTCGAGCAATTTTAATATGACCGAGATGATTCCGGCGATCCCACCGTTTTTCTGTTTAGTACTTGGGATTAACAGGAGCAGAGAGCCAAGAGCTTGGGCGCAGGTTTCCCGGACCGGCGCGACCACCTGGTCCGAAACGAAGTCTCCGAATCTATCTAAACCTAAGACGCAGAGTAAACGTAGAGCCTTATCGATTATCCATTCGTAGTGACTCTCCTCCATTTCCAAGGGCGTTTGGTCGCGCGATTTCCCGGCGCCTTTCCCGTGGAGTTTTATTAGTTCTCGTAAAGCGGTGGCGGAACCATGGCGGATCTCCCATTTCTGACTGAAGAGGTCTTGGCTCAGACTCTCAGCGAACGATTCCAGAGGCCAGTCGATCACGGAGTCCGGCCAGCAACCTGTACTATCGGGAACCGCTGCCGTCGAATCGTTTTGGGTGTCCGTGGCGAGACTCGCGGTTTCAGAGGGGGAGTCCTCGAGTTTTGGTTTCTTCGGGTGGAACTCCAGGATAGACGTGTACGTCGGAGGAGATTGCGTGGGGTTCGGGGTATGGAGATCTTCTTGAGGGGCGCGGTGCTGGTCTTCTGGCTCCCGGGAACGTTGCTTGGATACCGACTGACGCGCCTGTTAAAGAAGCTTTTGATTTAACGACGTTTTTGTATATCGTTTAATCTCACTTGAATTTTAAGCCCTTAGGAGTCAGTTTATCAAAATTTGGAAGAGTGACTCGATTAAGCTAGAGAGTTCAATTCTTAATCTAATTCAAACTTCAGCTAAACCCGTTGATTACATTTAGTGTAATGCATCTGAAATACAATTACCTTGCGCCTAGCTCTGTTCATCTCCCTCCTACTAAGTCCTTCAGGCTGCTTCAGGGTCTCGCTGACCGACAACTTCCCCTGACAATTTCCTGTTGGAACAACCGTGTTATTCAAATCCTCGGCAGTAAACAATTCCGATGTGTCCATCAACTGAGGATGGAACCCCAACTTGGCAGCGATTTTTTCTTCCTGATTAGCCACCTGTTCCCCATCGGTAGCGATCAGGTCATATTCGCTACCCTCCGACCCGGTCAAATGCGAACTCTGAGCTAACACTTTCTCCATATCGAAGTCCTCGAGACTCAGTCGATTCTGTTGACTTCTTTTCGCCTCGGCGACGTTCTCTTCCTTCTTAATCGGCTGAGGATCCCACTGAGGGACTTGGGCAAGTATCGTTTGAATCGCCTGAGCGGCGGAGACCCTTGTGTCCCATTGAGGCGATTTCAACAGGGTAGAGACTCGAGCTAAGAGGTGATGCAAATCGTGAGGGTGCAGACGCTGTGCTTCACCTAACTGCTGTGCCGCAGCTCTCTTAGTCACAGCGTTCGTTCCAGTCTCGAGTAATATGAACAATCTATCTAATCTGGACGTCATTGTTGCAACCAATTCGTGCTCTGTATTTGAATCTGAGACAAGGGAAACGAACGATTAATCTTTACAATTTTGCAAGTTGCAGTGGGTTAAATGTTCTGAAAAGAAATCAGAGGCATAGTAGTATACTAGAAGAACATCTCGGAATTCTTTCGAATCATTCAACGTCGCAATGTTTACAATTTTAATCGAAAATTTGGAATTCGAGAGAAATATAAGTAAATTGAAATAATCGACAATAAAAATTAAATGAATTGATTGAAACCATTGTTTTTTACGAATCCATAATCAATAAATAAAATTGTGGTTATGGTAGATATTCGACCGAAGATCGGGCCGACGACCGATCGAAGTACCAAACAAAATTTAAAAACGTCTCTACTAAAGAAAAAAACGCATAGCAATGAAATAATTGTTGGAATCGTTCGATCTTCGGAATATAAACGCAATATGGGTGTACGAGAACGATAGGCAAAGCAGAGGGTAGGTACCTGGGTTCTCGAGCCTCTGCGAACGTCACGTCAAATTCTCATCCAACCCGCATAGCCGTTTCCCATTGATTATCGCCTTGGTAAATCACATCACGCGGCCGACCGCGCTTAAATCGGCCGACATTCGTCAAATTTCTCGGAGAGAAGCGCATGTTACAGCCATCAAATTTATACTGACAGCCATATTGCGAGGGAACCTCGGTTTTGTCCTCTGGTTACGATCCGATTGGCCCACCGCCGGCCAACCCGTAGCAATCGATAACACGCGCGTCCGCCGATTTCGATTAAATTTACACCTCTTGCCATTCCCTCTTGACATTTCATTATTTTTATAGCGTTTTATTCACTTTATTTCGTTTTAACGTAATTTTACATTTGGCTCGCGCCACGTGGTAGCTTCGACCAATTGCGGCACTGCCTTCGGATTTTTCCTGCCTTCAGATTGGTCGACGTTACAAGTACGTATTTTTAAAATGAAATACAAATAATGGAAACGATGAGAGCACCGATGAGAAAAATTCAAAGAGATCTTGAATATTCGAGGAGAGTTTTAATGTAAGTTGTGGACTTTCTTATTTAGAGAAATTCTCTTATATGAACAATCATTTCGGTGGTTGAGTGACATTAGTCCTTGATTCAATCTTATTTATTCTTTGTATTTGTATACATGATCATACAACGAAACGACGATAATTAAAAATCGTGTATAGTACAGCATATCTCGTCACGAAATTAAAACTTAATTAACCACGAAAGTTTCCCTAGTCTACGCCATTGAATCCAGAAATTGTGAAACGGTCAAGAAAAATCCTACCAAACCGTCGTTAAAAAATAATATAAAAGATTGTACGGAGACGCCTAGAATGTAAAATTTCGACAAATTGTGCGGCTTAAATGCAACTAATCGATGATTATTCTAATATATACACGCGCTTCCCCCTTGCATATAGTATATATATATACACTTACCAGTCCCAAGGAATAACTAGAATTAATATTAACGATAATAAAAGTCCACGTAAAAATAACAATTTCTTTACGAAAATAAATTAGAGACTGCCTGGATTCAATGTAATTCTAATTGATGCATCGACAACCATTGCTGGACGGAGTGGAGGAATGCTTAGGGTTTCTAAATCAGAATACGAACGACGCTAACAGATAAGTCTAACTTTAAACCGACGAATCCTCTCTCTAACTTCACAATATGTGCATTCAGCTTTACAATGATCGATTGTAGATAGAAATAATCAAATTCCAAGTAGCTAAGAATATCGAAATGATGTAGAAAAGAATTCTTAACGTCCTCGACGGAGAAATAATGAACCGTCGTTTCTAAACTCGATTCGCTCGAAGTCGAACCTTTCAACGCAGGGACGGGAGAATTTCTATTCAACCAGGCAACTGATTAGCGATCGTGTTCGGTCCGGACGCGTTCACCGTGTGATTGGGAGTCGCCGCCTCCTGCATCAGCGTGCGCGTCTCTTCCTCGTGGTCCGACAGCGGTATCACGTGCGGTGTATCAACCTGCTGCTGCTGCTGATGGTGCTTCATCGATTTTAACTGGCTCGGGAGTTCCGTGAGGACCGGCCCGTACTGCGAAGTGGAACCCACCAGCAAGTCAGTCGATGGATTCAAACCGCCCAACATCTTTCCTCGTAGCAAACCGCGTTTGACAAATCAGATACAGAACGAAACAACACGACACACGCCAAGTTTCTCTTATAAATTAAATTGAAATCAAATGAAAGTGTCTCATCAAGCAGAGGGTTCAAGATTGCACCAGACCTTTAAGACCTTCGAGAAACATTTAAGGAATTTGGTAAATAAATGCCAGAATTTTCTCATTAAAATTTTACCTAGTAACTGTTAAAAAGTTTAATGTATGATTATTTTTTATTTAAGGGCTCGCACAACCTTAGACTTCGCAATTTAGTTTGCTTGATGATTTCCTTGGAACATGAGATACGATCGAAGACCGAGCTTACCTGACCGCTGCTACCGACCATTCCACCTCTGGGAGACTTGCCACGCCTGAAGAATCGCAGCCAGGCCCAGGCACACCCTGATAATACCCCTAACAGCATCATACTTGCTCCGCAAGCTATGGAATTGCTCGCATCGTCCTCTGAATGTTCCTCGATGTCTGTGCTTGGAGAAGTTGGGCTTCCATTCACCTACGGAGTTATTAGCAATTGTAGGATAGCTGTTTCAGTTTTAATTAGTCACTGAATCGATAAAAATATATTAATGAAACTTTCGGGACACTTAAATAAGATTCTTCTGAAAGTTCCTTATTAATTTCATTGAATATCCTTCATTAGAATCAAAGTTATTACAATTTTAATTGAATAGTTCCAATTCAAGGACTGAGTAACTGTTATACTGTTTGGTTTTTTAATTATTATTAACGAACCGGTTAAGATATCTTAACGAAACTTGGGAGATACTTAAATAAGACATTAATGAGGATTCCTTACAAAGGGCCTAGCTGGATAAGGGGGTCAAATGTGCCCTTGAACCGAATGAAGCGCCGTTTGCGCCATTCGATAGCATATTAAAAAAGAAACATTCACTCCAATTTTTAGCCCTGTATCTCAACCAGGGGGGAAGTAAGAATAAACAGGGGGAAGTAGGTTCACGTCTTGTCACTGACCATAATTT